CAATTTGGTTACAGAAATGTCACAAGTATCCCGCTGCCCTGTGGTTTTCTTTATGAAGTGAACTGCTAGTTCGGATCTTCACGATTTTGGTGTAAGATGTTGTAGTGCATTGGAGAGACTAGACGTAAAGTTCCAGTAAACAAAAACATTATTTGTTTCACGGATTTAGTACATAATGTTCTCTTGAACATTTCAGTAACTTTGGATAGCGTTGTTTCGGTCACTACTTGTGACAAAAGGTTGACAACTTTCTCTGAAAGCATTAGGATACTCGTGCGCTAAGGCAATAACCCTTTTAAGATAAGATTTGCTGTGACCATCAAGCCTATCTGCAATTTCTTCTAGCTTTTGCTTTTTTACTGGGGAAGGATGAGCCTCCAAATTCCTCATAGCCATTGTATTTTCCATGTAGCAGATTACATCTTTGCCAATTTCTTCTTCTTTCATTGCCCATCTCTTTTGAGTTATTCTCCGTTTGGTTGCTTTTGGATGAAACCTTTCAATATTTCTATCAAGTTCCTTTAGATGAGGTTGCTTGTAGTCTGTTTTTTCTTCTCCTTTTTCATTAAAAAAGTAATTTGGCGCAAAGTCACGGTAAATTTCTTCCGTTAAATTCGCACATAACTGACCTATATATAACAGATCTGTCGTTTTTTCCAGCTCATCGATTTTAGCCATGCTTTTTCTTAGGTCATCATCGGTTTCTTGATACTTTTTTACAAAATAGCTTAGCTCGTCTTCAAGAGCCTGCGCTCTTTTATCGGAAGCCTGCTTATCCTCTTCCTGCCTTTTTTTAAGGTCATCATCGGTTTCTTGAGACTTTTTTACAAAATAGCTTAGCTCGTTTTGAAGATCCTGTATTTTTTTATCGGAAACCTGCTTATCGTCTTCAAGAGCCTGCACTCTTTTATCAGAAGCCTGCTTATCCTCTTCCTGCCTTTCTTTAAGACGTATAATTTCTTCCATCATGACTTCCATGGTCGGCAACTCGGTCTTTCCACGTTTCATCGATAATCTATTTTTGCTTTTCCGTTGCACTGCAATGAATACAAGAAGATAGTTAGGAATTCATTTTGATTACATTGAAACTTAAAATCAGGGACGAAGAAAACGTGATTCGAGACCTTTGCAACTGATGTTCGTTCGGTATCATGCTAACTACAAGGTTGTATGTGATGTGAGGTTGTGGGAAAAGGGACTAATGTCTTGGAATCGGGATAACAGATTCTGGGTTGAAGGGATCTGAGATCACAAAATGATTTATATTTGGGGAGCAGGGATCAATACTTTTTCAGTAAGAATCAATCACTTCGGTTTTAAAACAAATTCGTTGTGGAGAAGGACGAATAGTATTTGGAGTGAATTTTTAATTTTTATATCTCAAAGTAATGCATAATGTTTAGATTTGGAGGACAGATATTCATGAGATGAAGGTAAGATTGCCTATTGTTACCAGAGCCTTATAAAGACAGAAATAGAGCGCTTTCGAACGACAGTGCGAAATGTATTGAGCGTTTGGCCTAAATGAATAGTGTGTGACCTTGTCCGAGATCTTTTTTGCCAACCTGTCCCTTGAAATGAATGAAAACAAGATAGAAAACAAACAAAACCAGTTTACATAAAACAAATTTAGTTTATTCCGTGCTGATTTAACCAAACATGATAATCGCTCTTTCTATTTTGTGCGCACTCTTGGTTCACCCCCTTATATACATCAATGATATACAAGCTGCTTGCAAACACAATATGTTTGGAATGACTTTGGAAGAAAGTCAGCCACTGAAATGATATCAATGATAAAAATAGATTCACGACGAAAATAAAATCAGATAACAAAAATTATTAATGAAAGTGCAATGAAATCTTTAATGAAAAAAACTGAGAAGCATAAATTGCATACTTCTAGAACTTTAGAAATAGAATTTAAATCAGTCAAGTAGTTTTTCCAACTCATCGGTTTTAGCCATGTATTTGTCTAGCTTTTGATCGKTATCCTTTTTACAAAATAGCTTAGCTCGTTTTGAAGTTTCTGCACTTTTTTATCCGATAATTGCTCAAAAGGTTAATTTCTTCCATCATGGCTTCCATGGTCATTGATAATCAATTCTTGATTTCCCTTTGCTTTGCAATTGATACAAGAATAAAAAAAAATGGGTTTTCAATGTGATCACGATGTACTTCCATGACATCATTACCATTAGCATATTACAAGATCCAACCTTCGCTTAACTCAAATATGCAACACTGAATTTCACCATTCAATCATTTACTTTATATAGAATCGGCTCACAGAGAATCAGCAAACATTTATGCAAGGCKTCATAGGTACTTTAATATTGATGAGGGGAAGAGTTTTAAGACTCTCTCGGCTCTCTCACCTCCAGCTTCGTCAACTCCTCGCAGTATGGACATTCTAAATTTTGTTTCATACATATGCTGTCACTCATGAGAATTTCGGGCTGCGTCAAYGCTATTGTTATCAGCTATGAGTCTGAGATGTTTTAACTGACATTCGCGAAATGAAACTAAAATCATTCCTCTAATTGTCAATATGCCATGTAGTTTTCAGCAACAATCAGGCAAATACAATTATGAAATATCACACTTATTAGAACTAAAAATCATTTCAATCGTCATACCAATCTGCTTTATACAAAACGATACTTTCGCTATTATGAATCTACTGGCTAATAAACTATTGTCAAAAGGACAACATTTGGATTTACACACCTTCAAAAGTATGAATATGGAATAGCTAATCGATCCCTGTACGAATTTTTTAAGCATTCATGTACGGTATTGCCATCAATTTTGTTTGATTTATCTTTTGCGGACTATTAACAAAAAACTTATCTGAGACAAAAAGGCATTGTTTGAAATCTAAATCTAAATTAACACAGCTCCCATAATTGCTAATCTAATCTATCTCTGTTCGACTGACCGTCTTTGAATTATTGGATAGAAACAGATCCTGTACTAGAGTTGATAAAAAAAATTATAAAGAAAACCGTGAGTTCTTGTCAATTCCTGATCGGCTATTTCAAAGATTTAATCGACGAATAAAACCTTGGACGGTTAATTATCGGTACAATTAACGTAATAGTCTATAAAATCAATTCATTATTAATAAAGTATCCAATTAATATTAATTGATTATAGCTTAAGTTTGGCCAGTTTTCCTACGCCTCAGCGCTTACTTACATCACCATTAAGCTCAGTTAAGATATYTGATTATTAAGCTTTAATTATAACTTCATTTTTTGCCATCAAATTCAAAGAATATGTGTCTATTAACATTCACTAGTAGGTCAGTTTTCAAGATACTTTTCAATCTTACCTCAGGAACGGAGGACTTGCCTTGAGGAAGTCAGTTTTTCTATATGAACTACAGCTCAAACAGTAGTTCATTTGTAATGCTTCTTACGTCATTCCCTTTCCCTCTACCCCTTCCTAATACCCCTTACCTCCCCTCCCTTGAACCAACGATAGCATGACCACTGATCCAGTACCTGGACTGCTTTTAATTATTTGACTTCTTTACAATGTTGKGCACTGGTCTTCACTGTATTCCCGCTGCATTAACGATGCCTGGAAGTACAATGACATTTGATGTACCGATTTCTCACATTCTCCACTCTTGGMAGGCCAAGCAGGCTCCCCYCCCTCGTTTCTTCATAAAARCAAAAGCTTAAWATTAGAATATCATAGGCTTAAACATTTTATGGTCTCCGAACGCGTCAACCCAGTGTTATAAAATGGAATTTTCTAAGCTTTCTCTCTTTTTTCAGAAATGTATTATTCACTACATTCTGTAAACTTTGAGTTCGTGCTTTTTTGTCTTACATCACAGCTAAACAGAATGCTCCGAAGCGTGTTTTATAGTTAAACTCAAACCAAATAAGAAAAACATTCCTTTGCATATTGTAAAAATACATTATCATCATTATAGAAGGCCAAATAATAAACTGCCCTCATAAAAACACGCACCTAGCGGGCCGATAATGATTTTGGCGGGCTGCAAATCTTTTCGTATCAGCCCTGTCGCTGATTGGCCCAACGAGGGTCTTACGATCGTGCTCGACCAATCAGATTTCATTGTGATAACAATTTGAAAGCGCGCGAGTTGTTCTTCGCTGCGACTCAAGTTTGAGTTTTTGAAACGATTTATCACTCAAAAATATGGCAGAATATCCTAATTTCGACCTGGAAGTAGCNTCATGAATTGTATATCAAACTAGCTACCCATCTTATCAAAAGCGAATTATACAGTAAATATATGGCAAACACGCAAGTGTAAACGAGCCTTACCAAATTCACTACTATTTTATCAACAAGAACCCCGAGTTTACGCAGTTATGCGTCTAGTTAGTTATGAGTTGTGTCGTGCGAAATTGCCCGCAACGTTTTATGCGTGGGTCTGCTCAAATGGTTACAATAACGGTTTCGAAATGCATGCTTATAGTGGCAATTTGTGCAATACTTGCTTGTAGAAGGATTTCTTTGGCGGGTTGGTTCAAAGAATGACTACAGCAAGGGTTAAATGCATGGTAATTGTTACATCTTTAAGTCGTACGCGCTATACGAGTATCATTAGAAATCCGTTCGTGTCATTAATTAACTCATTCCATTAATATAGCGACTTCAAACATTTTGTTTATCCTGCCACTGATATCTAGTGCCCTTTGTGGTTATTATTAAAACCAATACGAAAAAAATACGCTGTCTTGGACAGCATGTGGCTAGTGCTACCAAGCAAAATAAAAATAAATAGTAATTACACGTAGAAATGACGTATGCCTAGCGAGTGCGTATGTAGAACATCTCTTCTTAAAAGGTACATTTTATATACAAAACGTGCCATTTCTTGGACGAACTTGTCCTGAGTGATTTTCAGAATGAAGCATTTTTTCTTCTATCATAGACACTTTATTCAAGGCTCTCTGGATACGCCTCTACACGTCAATCAATTACCATATAAGCAATTATTTCAAATACGTTTTTCAAATTTTCAACTGTACTAGAAGCCGGACGACAAAGTCAGGGGCGGATCCAGGATTTTTCAGAAGGGGGTGGCTAACATATATGAATATTAAAGTACGTTACAATTAATTTGACTTTTGAGGCTCATGTGAAATTATCGTTTATCGTTATCTCGGGCACACTTATAATATTTCGGACTTATCAACAAACTTTTATATGAAAGATATTTATGAATATATAAACAACAATTACATCAAAAAGTTCTTCTCACTCTATATTTTTTTCAAGTTATTATACATATTTTCCGCTATACAATAATCCTGTTATTTAATTTCTTTTTTTTCAAAACTTAAAGCCTTTATATTTTTTAAAAATAAAAGAGGGGGTGGCTAGCTACCCAATCCACCACCCCTGGATCCGCCCCAGAAAGTCTCGTTAATACTTAAATGATATCAATGATTAAAATTAGATTCACGAAGTAGATATATTCAAATAAATACATTCATTGGGATATTTTTGTGAAGTGTAATGAAATCTTTAATGAAAAAAGCTAAAACTGAGTAACACTTATTACCATACTATACTACTRCTCTTTCAAAATAGAAATTGCGCCAGGGAAATYGTTTAGGCGGCGGCTATAGACTACCAACATCAACAATACAATTGATATTGGAATGCACTATTTWTAGTGCTCAACGTCATCGYAAATAGCTGYATACAATAGAMCTCTGAACCTTTTACGTCACTACTTMATTTGCAATGCATTGTGTAGATCAGTTTCTAAAGAAAAYAAAAGAAATCCGCCATGTTCTSTCCCAAACATACCCTACAATGCATTGCGTACTTGGTAAAAGATGTAAAACCTTCAGAGTTCTATTGACCTACATCATAATGACGMCACAGTATGTTTACATTGTWGATAGTTGCTCAGAAAGACTCGAAACTCGAAATTGGTAMCTATTAGCATTCTTTTYGAARGTAGAACTTCAATGTATCGAATTTTGATTATGTACCAATGATTGCTCATGTATATTTTACTTGATATGCAGTCACTCTGATCCCTCTGGCGACCATAATCCTTAGCGTCAAAACAATAGAATTTTTCGTTGTGACGTAATTATGCAATAGGRCAATTTGGTTACAGAAATGTCACAAGTATCCCGCTGCCCTGTGGTTTTCTTTATGAAGTGAACTGCTAGTTCGGATCTTCACGATTTTGGTGTAAGATGTTGTAGTGCATTGGAGAGACTAGACGTAAAGTTCCAGTAAACAAAAACATTATTTGTTTCACGGATTTAGTACATAATGTTCTCTTGAACATTTCAGTAACTTTGGATAGCGTTGTTTCGGTCACTACTTGTGRCAAAAGGTTGACAACTTTCTCTGAAAGCATTAGGATACTCGTGYGCTAAGGCAATAACCCTTTTAAGATAAGATTTGCTGTGACCATCAAGCCTATCTGCAATTTCTTCTAGCTTTTGYTTTTTTACTGGGGAAGGATGAGCCTCCAAATTCCTCATAGCCATTGTATTTTCCATGTAGCAGATTACATCTTTGCCAATTTCTTCTTCTTTCATTGCCCATCTCTTTTGAGTTATTCTCCGTTTGGTTGCTTTTGGATGAAACCTTTCAATATTTCTATCAAGTTCCTTTAGATGAGGTTGCTTGTAGTCTGTTTTTTCTTCTCCTTTTTCATTAAAAAAGTAATTTGGCGCAAAGTCACGGTAAATTTCTTCCGTTAAATTCGCACATAACTGACCTATATATAACAGATCTGTCGTTTTTTCCAGCTCATCGATTTTAGCCATGCTTTTTCTTAGGTCATCATCGGTTTCTTGATACTTTTTTACAAAATAGCTTAGCTCGTCTTCAAGAGCCTGCGCTCTTTTATCGGAAGCCTGCTTATCCTCTTCCTGCCTTTTTTTAAGGTCATCATCGGTTTCTTGAGACTTTTTTACAAAATAGCTTAGCTCGTTTTGAAGATCCTGTATTTTTTTATCGGAAACCTGCTTATCGTCTTCAAGAGCCTGCACTCTTTTATCAGAAGCCTGCTTATCCTCTTCCTGCCTTTCTTTAAGACGTATAATTTCTTCCATCATGACTTCCATGGTCGGCAACTCGGTCTTTCCACGTTTCATCGATAATCTATTTTTGCTTTTCCGTTGCACTGCAATGAATACAAGAAGATAGTTAGGAATTCATTTTGATTACATTGAAACTTAAAATCAGGGACGAAGAAAACGTGATTCGAGACCTTTGCAACTGATGTTCGTTCGGTATCATGCTAACTACAAGGTTGTATGTGATGTGAGGTTRTGGGAAAAGGGACTAATGTCTTGGAATCGGGATAACAGATTCTGGGTTGAAGGGATCTGAGATCACAAAATGATTTATATTTGGGGAGCAGGGATCAATACTTTTTCAGTAAGAATCAATCACTTCGGTTTTAAAACAAATTCGTTGTGGAGAAGGACGAATAGTATTTGGAGTGAATTTTTAATTTTTATATATTAAAGTAATGCATTATGTCTAGATTTGGAGGACAGATATTCAGGAGATGAAGGTAAGTGCAGATTGCCTATTGTTACCAGAGCCTTATAAAGACAGAAATAGAGCGCTTTCGAACGACAGTGCGAAATGTATTGAGCGTTTGGCCTAAATGAATAGTGTGTGACCTTGTCCGAGATCTTTTTTGCCAACCTGTCCCTTGAAATGAATGAAAGCAAGATAGAAAACAAACAAAACCAGTTTACATAAAATAAATTTAGTTTATTCCGTGCTGATTTAACCAAACATGATAATTGCTCTTTCTATTTTGTGCGCACTCTTGGTTCATACCCTTATATCCATCAATGGATACACAAGCTGCTTGCAAACACAATATGTTTGGAATGACTTTGGAAGAAAGTCAGTCACTGAAATGATATCAATGATAAAAATAGATTCACGACGAAAATAAAATCAGATAACAAAAATTATTAATTAAACTGCAATGAAATCTTTGATGAAAAAAACTGAGGAGCATAAACTGCATACTACACTTCTAGAACTTTAGAAATAGAAATTAAATCAGTCAAGTAGTTTTTCCAACTCATCGGTTTTAGCCATGTATTTGTCTAGCTTTTGATCGGTATCCTTTTTACAAAATAGCTTAGCTCGTTTTGAAGTTTCTGCACTTTTTTATCCGATAATTGCTCAAAAGGTTAATTTCTTCCATCATGGCTTCCATGGTCATTGATAATCAATTTTTGATTTCCCTTTGCTTTGCAATTGATACAAGAATAAAAAAATGGGTTTTCAATGTGATCACGATGTACTTTCCATGACATCATTACCATTAGCATATTACAAGATTCAACCTTCACTGAACTCAAATATGCAACACTGAATTTCACCATTCAATCATTTACTTTATATAGAATCAGCTCACAGAGAATCAGCAAACATTTATGCAAGGCTTCATAGGTACTTTAATATTGATGAGGGGAAGAGTTTTAAGACTCTCYCGGCTCTCTCACCTCCAGCTTCGTCAACTCCTCGCAGTATGGACATTCTAAATTTTGTTTCATATATATGCTGTCACTCATGAGAATTTCGGGCTGCGTCAACGCTATTGTATCAGCTGGGAGTCTGAGATGTTTTAACTCACATTTACGAAATGAAACTTTATTCCTCTATTTGGCAATATGCCACAGATTTCAGTTCAAAAATGAAACAATATTCAGGTATATACAATTATTAAATATCACATTTATCAGAATTAAAAATCATTTCAAACGTCATACCAATCTGCTTTATACAAAACGATACTTTCGCGATTATGAATCTACTGGCTAATAAACTATTGTCAAAAGGACAACATTTGGATTCACCTTCTTCGAAAATTATGAAAACCGAATAGCTAATCGATCCCTGTACGAATTTTTTAAGCATTCATGTACGGTATTGCCATCAATTTTGTTTGATTTATATTTTTGTGTTCTACCGCTAAACTTTGCGGACTATTAACAAATAACTTATCTGAGACAAAACGGCATTGTTTGAAATCAAAATCTAAAGACCCGTTTACACTGGCGATTTTTTCAGGGCGATTCTGGCGGCGATCGTCGCGCGACCATCGCCTGAGTTTCGAACATGCTCGAAAATTGGCTGAAACTTCGCGGCGATTTTCCATCGTCGCAATAACCGCAGGGCTGTTTACACGCACGATTTTAGTTGCACGATAGCAAAGTGGTGATTATTGCGCTGCAAAAATCGCAAATGTAAACGGGCCTTAAGTTAACACAGCTCCCATAATTGCTAATCTAATTTGTGTCTGTTCGACTGACAGTCTTTGAATTATTGGACAGAAACAGACCATGTACTAGAGTTGATAAAAAAACTAAAGAAAATATATTTCAAAGATTTAATCGACGAATAAAACCTTGAACGATTAATTATCAGTACAATCAACATAATAATCTATAAAATTATCCAATTCATATTAATTGATTATAGCTTAAGTTTGGCCAGTTTTCCTACGCCTCAGCGCTTACTTACATCACCATTAAACTCA